CACCTTTATAATGAAAATGTCAACCCGAATAAAGTGTTAAATTGTGAGGTTGAGGTAGTACCTTAAAACCATTGTGGAAGGTAACTTTCAATTATAGGCCTACATTAGGGCTATGCCTCATAGATCTATAAAGCATTTTTTAGTTTAATCATTGGATTTAACATATGGACCAACACGACCCCTGGTTACATTTAATTTCGAAGCATTTGTTTTGGCTTGAAACTGTCAGATACTGTATTTGCGAAGGTTTATAGGCTATATAATAGTTTTACCAGCATATCTGAAAATATGCAAACCAACTTCTGTTCTTAATAAGAAGGTTTCAACTGACTACAATAAGATCCCCGTGCGTATAACGGGCACACAGCTAGTAAAAATATAAAATTCCGGCTTTGCTCTGGAAGTAATAAGTCCTGCAGTCTGTGGTTAAACTTAAAAACTATTACAAGCTACCATATGTCCATATGTTTAGTTGTAAACAAAGGGAATTGAGTTTGTTGGTTTGAACGATTGTCAACAGATAGCGCCTCCGTTCCCAAACTTTAGCCCTTAACTGTACTTAAGTGCTGCCCTTTCTTAATATTCTGAGAGGTATTTGCACATCTATATGAAAATACATTTAATTTGACACCCTGAACGTTAAAATCCGTCCAGCCGTTATCGAGTTATGACTGTGAAAAGAAACCTGCTTGCGTATTAATATATAGATGTGTTGATAAAATTTGGCAAATTTATTTATTTCATCCTATACTATTGACGTTTGGTCAAAAAACACTTTTTACCTTCCCCGTAGCAGCAAACCTAAGCACTTGTTAACTTAAATCGAATGTTATTTAAATTGGGAATCAATATGTCTTATTTATGGAAATATTTTAGTAAAAATGTAATCAGACAAGTTGAAATTCACTTAGTCTGCAGGTTTACTGCGGCAGGAGTATTTATATTTTAGCACGTTATTGCCCACACACTTGATCTTCAGTGTAGGCTGGAACGTGCCCAATTACATCTACCCTACTGTTCGGTTCGTACAATTAAATGCAGAACAAACACATATGGCATGTTGTACATAATTCATTAATTGTTATGTGGAAAGCGAAAAGAGACCTCTTGTCGGCAAATGCAAAATTTTCATTATCAAAATACAAAAATTTGATAGGCCTATAAGTAATTAAGGTCGAAAATATCCAAAATCGGGTTTTTATTGATTGTTATACATAATTTAACATAGAACACAGGACAGAATCAGTTAAAATATCGAATCGAAGATGTAAAAGGTCGAAATACATAATTTTGTTAGCCTCTGCACAGTCTGTGAAAAGGTACCTCTTGTCGCTCAATATTTTTTTGCCATAACGAGAAGAGGTCCCATTTCTAATATTCACTTTATAAACAGACTTTAGTCCAAAAAATGAATTGTCCCACATTCTAGTGGAAATTTAGAGAACTAAGTTACAACAAAGTTAACAAAGATAGCAAAATATCTCACAAATTTTGCGGTCCCGACAATAGATATCTTGTTATGTTATGGAGGAAAAACATAGGGCCGACAAGAGGTCCCTTTTCTGAAACGTAATTTTTACGACATGCTTCGATAAAACAATTTTATTTAAGTTAAATGAAAATTACCCTGAGTTAAGACAAAAATTGGTATTGCCTCCAAAAAAGACATTAAGTTACCCAAACTTTCTTTTGATACCTACCAAAATCGTTTCTTAAATCTGAAAAAAACTGTAGGCCTACCTAAGCGTATTTGAAATGTTTAAAATAGTTTTTTTCAAAATTACCTTTTCCATAGCAAAATTTCAAAGTCCTATAACTTTAACAAAAATATCGTAGTTGCATAGGACTTGCACCAAGTGATTCGGAACTTAATAAGGAATTCAAATAATAGGCCTATAAGGCCTAACTCAAAATCTAAAATTCCCGACTAGAGGTCCCTTTTCACTTTTCCCATCATAATTATTAATAAACGGTATCAGCATTCTGACACATACTTTCTCCCATAAGTTTGTCAACAACCTTTATCATTGTGTAAGTGGTGAGATTAAATATACGGAAATGGGATTAGTACAATTTTGTTCAGAATTTAAAGGACTACATACTAAATTTTTATCAAAATTGTTCGGGCCATTTTTGTGAAAATTCGATTTTTCCGTTATTTTATGGGAAAATAACATAATTTACAATAACTTTTGAACCGTAATTTTTACAGAAATGGGATTTATACCATTTTGTTCAGAATATAAAGGACTATAGGGCCTACCATACAAAATTATTATCAAAATCGTTCAGGCCGTTTTTGGGAAAATCCTATTTTTCCGTTATATAATGGGGTTTTATGGGAAAATTCCCATTAAAAATCAAAATTTTAAAAAAATGAAAAACTATCAAAACAACCATAACATACTAGGCCTATGTTAAATTAAATTTGGAGCATGCAAAAGATGGAGCAATTTCGAGCCTTGTAACCTAGTTTAATTACTAACGTAGGGCCTACTATAAGTTTTTACAAGTCACATATAGGCTATCAATAAATTTTTTAATTTGTCTGAAACTGTCTTATTTATGTATACCTCCTATGCATGACAGGATGTCCCACATTGTACCATTTATTGTCCCACTTTGTACCATATTGCTGTCCCACCTTGTACCAGGGTCGGTACATGTTGGGACAAGTGGTATAAAGCGGGACAAACAGTTTTTGGCCTTTTAAATATAAGTTAATAATTTTGAAAAAAATATCATTAAAAGTGTTTTAAAAGGGTTTTATTTTTGTGTAAAGATTGTTCTTTTAAGTAAATTAATATTGAAGAAAAAAATGTTTTAATATTTTCGCCCCAGTATGTAGCACTCTATGTATGTCCGCAGTCCTTTGCCCTAAGGAATTGGACACATAAAAGCTTTGCCGAATAACCTAACTTTAACCAAGTTAAACTTAGTTTAACCTAAATTAAATAAGTCTGGCTTAGCAAACTGATTCTAAGACAAAACGTGAGGGAACTGTGAGAAAGTCAATTTATTTGAAAACATTTACGCAGCTGGTCCGAGGAGGCATGCCCAAGGGATATTAGACGATGAACGAAGATCCCTCGAGCCAATGACACTTCCAGTTTTTTATTTAGCCTATGTTAAGTGGTAGGCCTAAGTAAAAATATCCCATAAGTAGGCCTAGGCTATATTCATAAACTAGGAATTTACCAAGCTAGCAGTTAATAGGGAGTAACTTGACCTCCTACCGGTACTGAGTTAGGTTGGCTGCACTTTAGTTTATGTCCTACACTCATTTGAATGAAAAATATCAATACGTAGATTATTCGATATCTATATATTAATTTGAAACTGTTTTTCTTTGTGACAGCTAATTTGAGAGAACGGCTGGGTGTAGAAACTCGGTACCGTAGGGGTCTCTAAAGAAAGGTCTTGGTCTGTAGATGAGCCATCAAAAGAGAAACGTGTCAAATTCCCTTGGGGCTCTGCCCCAGTGGCCTTTAAATTCCCATCCCATGTTATTCTTATGGAGGAAAAACGGGGTTTTGTCACAGCTAATTACAGAGAACGGCTGGGCGTAGAAACTTGGTAGGGGTCTCTAAAGAAAGGTCTTAGTCTGTAGATGAGCCATCAAAAGAGAAACAAGGTAAATTCCCTTGGGGCTCTGCCCCAGAGGCCTTTAAAGTTCCCCTTCAGATTTGTTTACATTACGACCATATGCATACCTACATTTACACTACTTTTGAATGAAACAGCTGTTAATATTTAAATTGTGATTTACTAAATTTGTCAAAATGAAGTATTTGCAATGGTTTTTTTCTAATTTTAAAATCGATTTTCTTCTGAATCGTGCCATGTTTTGCAATATAATGTTCTATTACCAAATCAGTGGAAAATCCTAATATCACAGTAACACTTAAAATTATTTCTTATAGAGTTAACTTATATCTATTGTATGGGTTGGTTTCTGCCTTTTTTACCACTTCTTGGAGATTGAACGTAGACGATATTCTTTGACGTATTGCATCAGTAGTAGACGATACTTGGTTGGTGTAATTTTTAAAATTACAATGGAAAAAGTGAGAAATACTGGACAATTTGATATAGGCTACTAAAAATAAAACTTAATTAACACTGTGCTACATTTCTTGAGCAATAATTGAAAGAACCGATTTGCAAACAATGGAAACAGGAAAGTCATAGAACACAACCAAGTGCAGTAGAAGAAATGGAAATAATGTTTTTTTTTTCATTTGTAATCGTTATTATAGACAACCTAATGCGGCTACGAGTGGGGAAAATTTGTAGAAAACACTAAAAAACAAGGTCAGCTTTTGAAAAAAGATAAGATATTTACAAAAAATTGTGATTATATCTAACTGCTGTGTACATCTTGAGTATTTCCATAATCTTTGAGTCGACTCTTATAAAGTCATCGGAAATTATGACTGTTATTTGTTTTAAAATAACGCCTGCAATGCTTCGCAATTGCTCGAATACGAGCAACAGGTAGGCCTACTCTAGTATTGATTAAATTTCATCCGGTTAGTTACGTTGGGTTTTAACCTAACTAACCAAACTTGATATATCGAATGAAATAATCGATATATTCATTCAAATGAGTGAAATAGGACTTAAACTAAAATGCAGCCGTTAGGTTAGCCTAAGTTACATCCAATAGTGCTGGTTCTAGCCCTAGGGTTGCCGGCGCCCGGAGCAAACGTGGTTGTGGCACCCCCTCCCCCCAGTAATAATAGTCCCATTTGCATATTTTAATATTTTAATACAAAAGGCCGCTGTGCAGCGCCCCCTCGGCCACGGCGCCCCGGTTGCCCCCCCCTTCGGACTTCGGACGGCCCTGGGTTCTGGCTTAGCCTACATATGGATCACTCATTAGAACCCCTTTGTGGTCAAGGGATAGGGGCCTATTATAACTTATTAATTAACTTAATTATTGACAACTCTATGCCTTTCGTTAATCATCCACTTCTAACAAAACAAGTTTGGCCTACCTGTAATACTATCAACTTCTTCCAATAGATTCATGTAATGCAATTTTACACGAATATCATTATCATTTGCTTCATCTGTAGTGTTGAGTAGAGTTTGGGATGTGCTAGGGAGATCCATTTTCGAACTCAAATATCTTTAAGTTAAGTAAGTAACTCACACAAAATAAATAGGCAAAATGTTCCTGCTAGGTTAACTTAACTTTCTCTAACAAAACAATTCAACCAGCAAACAACCCCCAACGGCCCCAACTCAACTCCCAACCCAACTAACTGGATAGCGCTGGGTTCACAACAGTGTTTCCATCCTCAAGAAAAAAATATCCCTGGGCCAACGTCAAAAAATCCCTAGTTATCCCTAGTCCGTGTTATAATAATCCCTCCAATTATCCCTCTTCATCAAATCTAGATAACTTATTAATTTTGCAGCAATACCAATGGATATCATGTATAGCCATCTAAAATATGGTAACTGGCGATATTATTCTTCAATATGCTATATCTATACATATAAAATCCAATGTATGTTTGTATATTTGTATGTTTGTCCTTTATGGACTCCAAAACCGCTCGACAGATTGTAATGAAACTTTCAGGCATTATCATAGACTAACCAACACAAGGAGTATGTTTTATCTTTGGCATTATTAAGCATTATTCAAGGATGGTTTGTGTGAAGTTTGGTACAGATCCGTCAATAGGGCTCCGCCCCAGTGGCTCTGGAGTTTCCCATGTTAACCTTATGAGTACTCATATTTAAATGGAATTAAAGAATCTTAACCTGAAGGCAAGTGAGCGCAGCGAACGAGCTCCAACCTAAAGGTGAGTGAGCGTAGCGAACGAACTTCAACCAGGACGTGATTGAGCCATGCGAACGAGCTCATCTTGAAAATGAACGAGCATGTGACATAAAACCACAATAGGACAGGACGACGTCTGTCGGGCCAGCTAGTTATTTATAAAGTAATACTATATAAAAACATTATTGCACCATTACACGGCCATCTTTGACTCCAGGCAGGCCGCGGCCTTGTAGAATTGGCAACATTGCAAGTACCGTAGTATTGTTTAGCGCCAGACGTCCCTTAAGTTAACATGGAAATAAAACATAGTAGGATAGAATCGGAAACCAAAACAATATAAATTGAAAATCTATTTCTGTACCTTCAATGTGGAGTCAACATTTTCATAGCCCAGTAACCAAAAAATACATAAATATCATTAGTTTAGCGTTCTCCAAAACAAACACCTTTTACAACACTATACTTGCAACGTTGCCACTTCGAAGGCCGCGGCATCTGGCCTGAAATTAAAGGTAGCCGTGATTAAAAACTGTCTATGTGGTAAAAAACAAGATGAATTAACTAAAAAATGAAACAAATAGTTATTTTTAAAATTTTATAAACTAATAATTTTCATTTATAAAGTATTCACAATTGTTTCAAAAATATTACTAGAGTGTCCAAATTTCAAACTTAATAGTCTTTTTCAAACATGGCCACCATGCCTTGGTGAAAAGGTTACACCAAGTTTCTTACTTACAAAAAAAATACATCACAGAAATCACCGGCAAACAAAATCAAAACTAAAACAAACATTCGACATTGACTAAAAACAAATACAGTAATCTAGATCCGCCATTCCATTCCACCGACCGACTCCAGTCCTTCGCTTGTTTCGTGCAGTGTTGGCTCGTGTTGGCTGTTACTCTTCCCCTTGTGTGTTCCGACTTTGAAACACTACGTCACTACCATTACCTACAACCATAGATAAAACATACTCCTTGAGGAGTATCTTTTATCTATGCTACAATCGATTTGTTACCAAAACCTAGGGAAAAATAGTATAATCAATGTGTTATCATTACCTTGCAAAATTAGCCAAAATAGGTCCTAAACGTTGTTGAAATACAGCCATAATGTATTATTTGATCAATATTTCAATTTTATAATGTCAAAGGCCTGAAATCCCCAGAAAATCTAAAAAATCCTTCAATTTCGTTGATTATCCCTAGTTATCCCTCAATCCCTTTTTAATCCCTCGAAGGCCCTAAATATCCCTAGAAAGGGATTTTAATCCCTCAAATGGAAACACTGGTTCACAACGATATGGTAGGCATACGGTTAAGTATCGATCGTCGTAGTATGAAAACAGCTACTATCGAATATCGTAAATCGATTGGCTTCCATAGCGCCAACCAACCAACCAAAACGTAAACAAACCAGTTTAGCTGCTAACTCATGTTTTCCAATTTTTATTTTATTAATAAAAACGTAATCGTATTTAATTATTAATTGTTTAATGTAAAACAGATTGTAAATAAACTTTGTTAAAAAAAAACAAAACCAACCAACACCGACACTCGACAGACAGAAGAGAGAAGACAAGAGATTACAAAAACTACTAGCACTAGCCTAAAAGGAGAGGAAAATATTTGATTAAATTTATTCCAACATTGTTCCTTTTGATCAGTTTCATGGTGCATAGTGCATTATTATGGAGGAAATATGCAAAGGTCATCTAAACGCTTTTAAAAGTAAGGGGGTGGTAATTTATCTGGCGTTAATTGCGCAAGTTACTGGAATATTAATTTTAAAATTCCTCCGTAATTTAAGTTCTTATATATTTATCATGCTGGTTATCAGCCTTACTGTAATTGGATAATGAACATTTTCATTGGCAAATTTTATGCCAGGTTCAGATATTATGTTGTACTTATTTATTTGCATTCACTCTCACTGTAATATTGTGAATAAAATTATGGCCTTCCGTCGTCAAGGCCACATTATGACGTTTGACGACAGACATAGGAGCTATAAGAGCAGCTGCAGCAGAAGGCACCAAGGCAATAGTTTACTATTACTATTCCACCATGAGTATGAGACAGCCGGTGCGGTGAGCCAGAGAGCCGATGCCGATACTAAAAGTCGATGTCTGTCATCCGGTAGAAAACAAGCTCGATATTTAACCGAATGCCTACCATATCGTTGTGAACCCAGCGCTATCCCAACTAACTAGTGTAAAAATAAATAAAAAAGTGTAGTGAAGTGAAGTGATGTGCGTAATCGATACAAGGACCGCAAAATATCGATAATTTGTATCGATACGTGGGAGTGTATCGATATGCCCGTATCGATACACCTATAGCCAATATCGTCTCGAATATCGTATTGTTTATCTATATAAATAAAATTAGAGTTTTGTCTGTACTTTGCTCAGAATTATATACTTTTAGGTTATTTTTACGTTTTATACATTAAAGAAGCAGAAACTAGTCTTATCTCTATTTCTGTCTGTCTGTCTGTCTGTCTGTCTGTCTGTAACACTCAAGATGGCATTTTTCGCAATCTTCTCCGTGAAAACCAGAGTACCTATCAAGATCCAAGTCATTTTAATGTATTCACTGGATTGGCGAGAGTGTCTTTACTTTAGTGATTTAAATATAGCCTCACTAATTTGTAAATAAAATTACGGACGTTCAAAAATGCAGTTTTGTGCGATTTTTGTCAAATTTTCGTTCAATTTTTATCACATAACTAGCTGTGTACCCGTTCTACGCACGGGGATCTTATAATATTCAGTTGAAACCTTCTTATATAACGAACAGCAGTTGGTTTGCATATTTTAAGATATGCTGGCCAAACTATTATACATAGCTTCATTTTATGTTGTTTTTTGTTGTTCCGGATCGGTATGACAATCAATAAAAGGTTAAATTACCTCTGTGTCTGCCGGTCGATCCTATAACGGTAGGCTTACTTTTATTTTTACTATCTGATCTCGTTTGCATGGCTCAATCACGTCCTGGTTGAAGTTCGTTCGCTACGCTCACTCACCTGTATGTTGGAGCTCGTTCGCTGCGCTCACTTTCCTTCAGGTTAGCTCGTTCGCTACGCTCACTTGCCTTCAGGTTAGCTCGTTCGCTACGCTCACTCGCCTCCAGGTTGCAAATTAGCTGTTGTCATAAATGTAAAAGAAATAATAGTGCTAGTGCTGCACCCTGTTGGTAATCCTTGTAACTTTAATGCTATTGAACATCACAGAACAGAACCAACTTGTTTAATTGAAACAGCTGTTAAGATTCAATAATTTCATTTCTCATAAGGTTAACATGGGCTTCCAGAAATTCCACGTCAAAAATCGACAAAAACTTGATTTTCAAGGGTTTACTGTTAAATATCTAACTGTCTCATATTCGATGAAATACGTCTAAAACCATCTCATATATGTATAGTATTTGGAAAATAAGTTTCAGGCGGGACAGTGCTATAGTTATTGAGGAGTAGTTGTAATAAAGTGCGTATTTTAGCGTTACCAAGAGAATGACAGATAGACAGACAGACAGACAGACAGACAGACAGACAGAAATTGAGATAAGGTTTGATTCGGTTTCTCTGACCTATGAAATGTAAAAATAACGAAAAAGTTCATTATTCTAAGCAATGTACAGACAAAACTCTAATTTTATTTATACAGGGTGAGTTTTAATTGTCCCCCCCCCCAACTTTTTTCTACATTTTTTCAAATATCAATCCCAGACCACTTCCAAACATTGTTGGGTATTAAGTACTTCATTTTGACAAGGTGGTCATTTCCGGCCGCCATCTTGGATCCGCCATATTGGATGCAAAATATTTTTTTCAAATGTAAAGGTGGGGTTGCGACCCATTATTTCGAACTAGATTTTTACCCTGATTACAATGCCGCAAACCGTTTAAAAAAATCTTGATTCATTCTAAAGTTATGAGGCCTTTTTAAAACTTTATTTTTAGCCCATTTTAACATTGTGCATTTACAACCTAAGATCATAATCTCAAAATAGTGCTAGATAAAGATAAGTATACACTACCAATTATTGTAAACCTATTTTCACTTATTTATGACTGATGCATTTTTTTCGGCCGCCATCTTGGATCCGCCATTTTGAAATGGGATAAACTATTTTAAATATGAAGGGTGTGTTGTGACCCATCATTTTGAACTACTTTTTTAAGCTAAACACAATGCCGCAATCCATTTTTTGTTATCAAGTTTTATTTATGAATCATTGCAATATTTTTGTTAAAAATGTTAATATTTCAAAATTAAAATATGAAAATAAAAAATGGACCATGGAATTGAGTTCAGCTTAAAAAAGTAATCCGAAATGATGGGTCACAACACCCCTTTTATATTAAAAATAATTTATCACATTTCAAAATGGCGGATCCAAGATGGCGGCCGAAAAAAATACATCATTCATAACCAAGTGAAAATAGGTTGGCAATGA